CTGTAAACTGGCTCAGGTCACCAACCGCCAGTCCCCAGCTCCAGAGATGTCTTAAAGGGACCTCAACTTACAGCGACACAATTTACAGGCTAGGCGTCCCACAGGTAGTGTAGCCTATAAAGTGAGGCACAGAACAAGCAAGGCAGCCACACACTGGTCCGATGATCACAGAGTGAGAGACAAGAAAGGCGAGGCTCACCGAGCCATTTATCTCTCTGCCCTTCAGTTAATCCCACTTGGTGTTTATCGGCCAGGCTGGCACAATGAACTATCTCACCTACCAATGGGTAAATAAAATCATTTCTTGACACATCTATATGGGCAATTCATCTTAGAAAATAAAGCAAATCATGCTATTGTTCTTTTTGGTCCTTGACCATAAAACTATACCTCGATTCCAATAGGCAACTAGGAAGTAGAATTTACTCCATTAGGTTTGTTGGCTGCAGAGAACAAAAGAAAGCCACCTCTCTGTGTTTTCTGTCTATTAATATTTCTCTGTTCATTCAACATTATTTTGTTATGGCTACCTTATACCAAACTGTATCTTTGCCTTTAAAGGGTTCATAGCATAGTAGAAGACAATATGAATTATGCAGTACAATGTAGTGGGGTTAATAGTGTAAGCAAGTGTGTTTGTGAAACAAGGAGACAGGTGGAAGTAATTTGTTCTGTCAGAGAATTCTAAGAAAGGGTTAAACCTTAGACCTTAGGGTAGCTAATTTTTAATGATCATTAACTTTTCACCAATTCAAAGGAGGGCAAAGAAAATAGAAAATAGAGGAAATAGAGCAATATGTAGAATGGTACGTGTGTTAGTCTAGGTAGAATAGAGAAACAAATTCATAGACACTCATGTGTATAAGAAAGAGCTTTATATACACAAGAGCAATTGAATATTGAGAAAACATCCCAGCCTAGTCAAGAACAAGTCCATAATTTCAATATTAGTTAGCCCATATGTCTGATACTAATCTATAAAGTCCTCTTCAGACTTATGAAACACATGCAATGACATTGAGTGCAGGAAGATCACAGGCCAGTGGGTGGGAATTCTTGTGGATCCAATGGTGTTGTAAGCATCTCAGTGCTGTCAGGGGTTTCCACATGGCTTCTCAGGCTCCAGCGGTCTGGCTCCATTAGCCTCTCTCCATGTATCTTCTTCACAGAGATGTCTCTCAGGGAGTGAGCTGAGAGAGAGAGTCTCCCACCTCCAAGGAGGAATACAGGAGTTCCCAGAGTCCTCAGGAGAAGACCATGCTCACAGAGGGCTCATTGGCTATGACCTGATTGACAGGCTAGACTCCACCCTTTCACTCTTAATCCTCTCAAATTGACAAATGATTATACAACTAGCACAGCATATTTGGGAAATATCAAACACTAGCATGAATTTTTAGTTGACACTTTGCTTGGTTGGTGGGTGCATCCATCCTTCTAAAACCCCAGAAAACTCACTGCCATTGAAGTGTCTATTATATTTAGAAGCACTCTGTTTAGTTTCTGTTCTGTTACACATCCTGACAATAACTGAGAGCTGATTTCCATGTCTCGTCGTTATAAAGCAAGGTTTTTAAACTTATTTAAGACATTCTCCAGGTTATCCCATACCTATGTATAGATGGATCTTAGCCAACTGAAATGGTTTTCAACCAATAGAATGCCCACAATTCTGGATTTGGTGGGAAGTTTACTTATGTCGGTGTTGCTGTTAGTTGTGGTCAAGGCCATTCTGACTCACAGTGGACCTACGTGGAACTCCTCTGTGGGGTTTCAAGGCTGTGACCAGGTCTGCCTCTGAAGTGCCTCTCAGTGAATCTCAGCCACCAACCTTTAGGGTCATGGTTAGATGATGAGCCATGATGACATCCAGAGACTCCTGAAATGATTTCAATAATCTGATTTCAAAAAAACTCAAAATAATTCTTAACCACATGATAATAATCTCCACAGTCACACTCTCGTTGTTATTGGGTCGTTCAAGTCTTGTTTGACTCACGGAGATCCCACATAAGCACATCCCAGGCTGTCGTCCTTACTGAGGCAGATTCCCAGGTTTTTCCCCCTGGAGAGGACAGATGAGCTCAAACAACGAACTTGCTGCTTGCAGCTGAGCACTTAACTGTTATTAACAGAGTTACTAAAATAAATGGCTATAGTGCTTCGTAAGTGCATAGTATGATATGCAACTTGAAACATCTGAATTTAGGAAAGATAGTATTGCAACTTCTTGTAAAAGGTATAAGCAGAACAATTTCCCTGTTTCTGAGCCTAAAAATCTGTATAAAGAGTTTCTGTGATTGTTGAGATCAGCATTAGGCACAATTAGGCTGGGTGAGAGCCTCATATGTCCAGAGGGTGTGCTAAAATCATCTGTGCTTCTTTCTTGTAACTCCGTGATCATTATCATCACTAGCCAGAATTCCCAACAGAGCTGGCATGAGGGGTATGTCATAATTCAGCATCTGCATCTACTGTCTCTCATGGTGGTTTGAATGCAAGAGTTCTCTCAGTTTGCATAAATTACTCCCTTTTTTATCTTTTAATGATGCTTATATTAATTAGCCTCAAAAACCAATAGTTCTGCTACTTCTTTTCAATTAAACTGAATACATAGCACAACTTTACAGTTTATTCCATTTTCTATGAGTTCTTAGTTTAAATATATAAAAAGGCCAATATTATTTCATTATAGGTGGTTATTAGATTATAAATAATGACCAATATTCATAAATATTTATTAAGTAGATGCTTCAATCAGATGTTTGGGGGCTTATAATTGTGATTGGTTAAATCAACAAACTCTCTAGAAAAGACAACTCCATTTTGTGGTCCCTCCAGACAAGTTTTTAATTTTATGAAAACAGACTCTAAATGCTCCTTGCCTTCTTGCCAACGGAGCAAGCCTTCCCCTTGCCTTTTCTGCAGAGCTACCGGAGGGGAAATAAAGAACCTACATTGAGAACCTTCTGAATTCAGCTCTGTCTGTGTGTATACAGTCAAAATGAAACAAATTGGGGCAATTTACTGAAGGTTAAATCCTCTAAATGACATTCACCTAAAAACACACAGGGGAAATGGTTCAGGAGGTTTAAATGATCATGTAATTGCCTTAATTCTCTGGGTTGCTTTGATGCACAGACACAACTTTATGGGATCTAACGGAAGATTCCAAATTGGCAAGTTTGGGTGTGTTTGTATTTTTACTCTCAACCCTCTGAATCACATATACTTTCGACCAAACCCAGGTTTTAAAAATCTCCCATGGACCTCAATGAAGAAAGTTCCAGAAAGTTGGTTTTCGAATTAGTGATCTGCCTGGGGTTTTCCTCCAGGAGCTGTCGCCTTTCACTTTGTTGTCAGTGTTTAAGAAACTACAGGGAGGCGTTTCCAAGGTCCTAACATGTTGACACCCTTGTCTGTTGTGCTCTTGAAGATCGATCTGCACATAGGGGGTCTTTCGAAATATTTTATTAGTAAAATCGGGCTGATTTCCACCTGATTTTTTCCTCTAGCTCCTGAGACAGAAGTGAAAGAAAAGGTTATTTATGAGCAAGGTGGCTCAACCCTGTCTAATTCTTGAGTAAGAGTTTTTCCAAGTAACCTTCCGTTTATGATTCAGTAGTTCCCCTGGGTTATGTGGGTGTTACTAGGATAACATACCCTTCGAAGATACTATCTGAAACACCAGATTTTAAAAAATAGCTTTTAACAAATTTTAAGAGTTTAAGATTGCAGGACTTTCGCTGACGCTGCGCGTTCCCGGCCCCCACCTCGACAAACGGTATTGCAAATAAGCCTTTTGATGTTTTAAAGGTTTTTCTTTGGCAGCTAAGAAAAACACGCTGGAAAGTTATATTTAGTGGATTTGCCCGTGTATAAACATCCCTGAGCTAGGCCGTGATCCGGTGGCATCTGGAAGAAAGGTGCTATTATTTGAAGTAGGGAATCTTCCAGTGGGAGCAGCCCTGGGCGAACGTTCACTCCCTGGGCTTCTGGGCCTGATCTTCCGATAAAGCATGTCAATTGGGTCATGTTTCGGTATTCTATGCGATGACATCGGTCCCCGTTCATGGCACAGCCACAGAACCGTCGAACCGTCTGTTTGTCTCTTTCGTGATTAACTTTAAATTTTCTAGGAAAACGGCTTTTTTTTTTTTTTTTTGCTTAATCCTTTTGTAGCTATCACGGTACATGCTTCCGGGGGAGCATTTGTCGTGTCCCCACCCTTCAGGCTGCACAGCCCCGTGCGGCGTCCCCAGGCCCCCCCTGAGAGATGCACGCGCAGCAGACACGGGTCTGATGAAAACGCCCCACGAGTGATTTAAAGCTCCTCCTCGCTGACTGTCTCCGTGACAAATCTGGGTCATGTGCAAGGAAGGACTTCGCCCGCGCTGGCACAGGGACACAGGCATAGTTGAGGATAACGTGGACGTGAAATGGAGATCTCCAGTTCCTTCTACCATGAGTTGAATTGGCACATCTCTACTACGCTATTCAATAGCCATTGAGTGGGAGCAGCTGTGTCTTAGCGCCTTTCACGGTGAAGTGTTCAAATGTGTAAAGTGGTTAGATGTAAAAACACTGCTAAGCTATGGGCAAGAGGCTGCCTGCTTTCTGTCTCCTGAAACTTCCCTGAGGTTCTGTTTGTAGGGCCCAGCTGCATCTACAGACATGATGGAATTCGGTTTGTGAGAGACCTACAAAAACTACCCAAATAATTCAGATTTTTAATGAATAATACACAGACATGCACCTGCTTTGGGGACTTCATAGATTTGTTTTGCAACCAATAGAAAAGCCCCTAGGAATTTAGTTACATGGCTGCAAAACAGAAAATGGAACTATACATTTACAACTGTTATCAGGCAGCAAAATAGTAACTAGTTCTTGGAGCAAGCTTTTCCTGAGGATTAGGGTGTTTCAATTTGCTTTGCTTCTATGAGACTTATTACAAATCCGGACTAGACTGCTCATAGTACTATCTTCTCTCCCTGCAGCTGGACCCGATTCCAGAAGATGTTCTGCACCAAAGCCCCAGCACGAATGCCGTGATGTCTTTACAGAAGACCATTGAAATTCAAAGTATGTCATAAATGTTCGTTTTAAAAGATCTTTTACTCAAGTACAAAGAATTACATATCTATTGATAACTAGAGCTCTAAAGGAACTCTATAGACCTGCTTTGTGCACACACTGCAATGCGTTAATACCACATTCCCCTGAATGTGGCCACCTCATCTTAAAGATATAGCCTGGGGTCTGGACCATTAGAATGTTGTTTTTCTCATGTTTCCAAGTACTTGATGTTTCCGTTACTACTACTGAGCATTTACTTTGAACGATGAAATAAATATATAATTTTTTATTATATCACCACACTTAACCAGAGGTGTGTTATGTATCTTCTACCGGTGTTGAAATACACCAATCATGTATTGGGGTTAAGATTGTCAGGAGAGGAAAAGTGAATGAGAATGCTTCACTATTAGAAAACCCAAGTTAACAAAGCTGGGAAAGCCAGATATAAGTACACACACACACACACACACACACACATGCGCGTATTTATTTTACAACCCTAATCCCTCCTATTGTTGTTACTTCTGCTAGAGCTATTTTAGATGACCAAAGGCAAGGAGAGAATGCCCATACATGTACAGAAATCAAAGGCAAACTGACATACAGGTTAGCAGGAAGGGAAAGTAAAATTGCAAAGTAAGATTTTTGAAGGAAAAGCAGGCAGAGCCTTGGCTTAGCTGTTGCCCTGCAGAGGAATGTTGTCAACTCCAGCTAGAGAAGCCACTGCCAGCCCTTTCTGAGTCATTGTCTTTGCTTGCTCACTGTCAATCTGGAGATATGGGTGTGAACGGGGTGCTAGTAACCACTCCTCTGACACCGCAAGTGCTGACAAATCATTCCAAACAGGAACTGAAAGTAATCCTTCTGTCGTCTCACCCTTGCCTGCCTTGAGGGCTGTAGTTATCCCACATGTTGTCATCGACTACCAGTCATAATTGGAATAAACTATGAATTGTTAAGATTTTGAAGAACAGAAAAAACAAACACGCAAATATTGTGGGTGAAAGCCTCTGAGATAAGGCTATGGAGATACAGAGAAAGGAAGGGTAGAGGGAATTTCATGCAGTATAAATTCCATCACAGTCCTGACTAACTCACATTTCATTTCAATCTCTAATGCATCTCACTCCATTCTGATGCAAAGAATCTTGAAGTGATCTTTGACAGCGTTCTCATACACCGCTAATGCCGCCTTTTCAGGCGATCAATACAATACATATATTCTAGCCATTATGAATACGGTTCTGTTTTTCCCCCTTGAATACACAAGAATATTATCAAGAGTTATTGTTCTTCTGTCTCCTCTGATTCTCTAACTTCCGGTAAGCATTTTTGAACATCTATTACATGTTTATTAGCTTTCAAGACCCGGAGGACATGAAGACCTTGCGTGAAGAATTCTGGGTTCTAGGGAGATCATTATAGTCCAGATGATTCGTTGCAGCATTCAACTGGTGCACTGAAAAGCTGAAGAAGGGAATATTTTCCTCAGCTTTGGGGTAAACGTTTGGAGAATGAGGGAGATTGAAGGAAGGCTTCTTCACAGACAAAAGAAGTGAGCTTTGTTCTTAGAGATAGATAGAATTTGGACCTATGGAAGGAAGAGGGAGAATGTATAGAAGAAACCCATCAAAGCCACAGCGTCCATTTTCACATCGGTGCGGAAAGGGTATCGTTTGTATGTAATTAGAAAGTGCACTGCTAACTTTGTATTGGAGCTTATCTCTAATAACAACTTTCTGTTGCATTTCCCCCCTTTCATTGTGGGTCGTTTTTGAGTGGTTTTAGGCAGCCTGCTGTAGCCAAACAAACCTAAAACTCTTGGAACCAGACATTCACTATATGGGCAAAAAAATTCGGAGTCCCTGTTTTCTGTCCAAAACTGCATTTTCTCCTAACTCAAATATACATTTAAAATAGAAATTCCCTTTGAAACTTGTATTATAGATCCCACTCATTGTCAATTCAATAATTCCATAAATAATCAGTTCTTATATGTCTATTTCTGTCAGCCATATTTTTATATTCGAGTGAATTGAGTTTGCTATTTCGTGATGAGGGTTTTAAAGTCTATTAGTTCATTATCAGATGATAGTCACTAGGTGGTTAGGAATCACATGGTCTCACTGGCAGACGTCCCTGTGGAAGGCGATGGCATTAGTGCAAGAGTGTGCGGTGCATGGAAGTCCAGGATGAACAGGTATGAGTAAATGTGATTTGGTTTCTCAGGGAACCATGTATCACATGTAGCCTTTAAGCAAGATTGTCTCCATAATCAGAAATATATGTCTACCCAGCAAATATACACTCCCCTCTTCTACTCAAAAGAAATTTGATTTTAATCATTCCTCTTTACCATGACATACAGTCATCTCATGGTAAACTCTAGTTATCCCCCACTCCACGAAAGTTGTGCTTAGACTAAAACTAAGCCAGACTGCATATTGAATGTATACATGATTTTATGGTATGTGAGTTGATTCTTACCCATGAGGATCAAGGCTGACTTTAAGGCTTTCAACCTGTGCAGTCACATAGACCCTGTGCCTAGAAGAGCCCGTGGTTGGATGAATGCTCTTACTGCCACTGCGCTGAACAGAGGACCCACCATTTTCCCTAGTTTCCACGGGGTCCTGCAAATCACCTAACCAGGTGAGAGGGAGGATGGTAATGACTAGGAGCGGGAAAAATACCAGGGAAAACTAAGTCGTAGCACCACAAGCAGTGTTCAAATGGTTGCTAACAAAGACCTAGAAAATGGGATGAGGCTGTCTTGGGAAAGGTAAGTTTATGAAAGACAGGACAGTCATTGGGAGCCAGTTGAGATATGGAGTGAAAATCAGTCCAGAGTAAGTGGTCCAACACTGATGCTTCACGGCTGAGTGGTACATTTTTAGTTGCTGCCGATTGTGTCTTTGGAGATGCCCATCCAGACTATGGGAACAGCAAAGGGCCGCAGAGGCGTCGTAGAGTGATGAATAGAGAGGCATGTGGGAATCACAACTACATAAAGATTTGGGAAAATGAAAAACCATGGGCTCCTGCTGGAAGGAGCAATCTTTGATTTCTATATGAAGCATAAAATTCCACTCTTACTTTTCCTTTCTCTTCCCTGTTTCATATCCCACAAATGTCTACTCCTCCATTTCAAGAGCTCCCCACTTGCCCTTACGTGGGAAAGTAGTCTGGACTGCCTAGATCATCTGTGCGGCTCGGTGCAGAATGAAAAATTATAAAGAACTTCACTAAGGCAACCTCAGAGCATTAAAAACCAGCAACGGGCCCTATATGAATGAACGCAGGGCCCTATAAGAATACGTAAGTTACTAGCCTCTGAAGTCAGCCCTGAAGGTAGTCTTTGTTTAACAAGAGAACTTCCTCTTCACATCGGTTTTTAAGCATCATGCAGGTGTCTCCTTTTAACTTTGGAAAATGTTCGGATTTCAACCCAACTTCCAACCCAGGTTCTGAAGGGTTCTTTTGTGCTATGGTCTGGAACTACAGTATCAGAAAACTATGCAAATGCGGAGAAACAGATCTTGTAGCATGTGGGAAACATTCAGGCAAGTTCCTAGATAGCCTACTCCCAAGGCACACAGCAAGGTGCTGACAGGCCTTATGTGGATTTTGCTTTGAGAACTCAGCCCCCCAGCTGAGGGTATGCAGGTGCTGGGGCTGTGATTAGCATTGGCCCTTTGCCTAGCCACATGCATGTCAGGATTATTCCTGTTGTCCTGTCCTTGTTTATGTTACTAATTTCGCTACAGAGAAAAGTCCTCTATAAAACAACATCAGGGCACTCAGCCCCCCTGTCAGGTGAAGACCCCTCCAGACAGGCCAGGATCTGGGTTCATTCAAGATGGCAGATGGATACACGGTCAACCATTTGGAGATGGCAAACGTTAAGTCTGCGCAAGAAGCTTCCTGTGTGCATATGCGGCTTATTCTGTTAACAAATTCCTCTGCCTCAGCCTAATGAATTTTTCACGAATTAACTCATAAATTAATCTCTTTTAGGAAGGCATTTTGGAATCCCCTTTTGTCCCAATTTATTCTCCATTAGATAATCTTATTCATGTGTTTCTAGTAAAGATCAGTTTTATGAATGCTCATCTATTCTTATTTGTTTGTAGGCATGTAAAATACCCATGACTGGCATATAATAGGTGCTCTGAAAGTGTTTGTTTAATGAAGGAATTAGCTCATCTTTCAGTGTTTTCCACCCCCCACCCCCCCTTAAACCCATATTGATTTCTTAACAAGGCCAGAGTAGTTAACCTTGAACAGCCCTTGGTGAATGAGGGATTCGGAAGACAAGTCACTTCTCGATGAGGAAGAATATGAATTATTTTTGTGAGCTAATATGTTCATGGCTAAGTTGGGGATAATCGTTCTCAGAGATGGATCTAATTCTTGGTTGGCCATAGTCACCATTACATGATGCCAGGAAGAGTCAGCCTCGCACAGGACGTGAAAGGGGTCTCCATATGGAGGGTTCCTTTCCTGAAACCCATCCTCACAATGGAAAGAGTCCAGCCAACGCAAAGCAGGGTCCTGAGACTGTTCTTCACACCCGTGCTGCCTCGTGATTCAGCTTTCACTAACGTTGGCAGGGACAGGCCAGGAAGTGAGTTGGCCTTAGCCTTAGATGCAGTAAGCTTGACAGACTGTAATTTTAAGTTCTGAAAACATATCACGAGCAATATTGGCATTGGTCTGTGAAACCCTGAAGGATGAGAACTGCCGGCAGGGAGATAGGCTTTCCTTTTATTTATTTGTACCTTTTAGTTAGAAGAGTACTCCTTGTAAGTGGCAATCGATTCCTTAGACCTCCTACATGGTAAGTGATAATCATAGTGTCCTTTGATTTGTGGAGCAAGGAAATATATGCAGGTGCATGGCTTTGGGGATGCTTTCCACATTTTGCTTCTGCCCACCAGTGGTTTGAAGTGATAACTTGAAAAACACTAGTGTAGAGGATTTAGAAATTATCCAGTATAATT